TCCCTCTCCTCTCCTCTCCTCTCCTCTCCTCTCCTCTCCTCTCCTCTTTTATTTTCTCCTTTTCCTGCTTGCTGCAGAGCATTGTTGTAGGCGCTGCTGGAGCATTAGGGTCTGGTGGCTCCCTCCTACGGTGCTCCAGGAGCAGAGCTGTGCCATGTGCCAGCCCATGGGCTTTGGGCTGGTCTGGCTTTCACCGTCTCTAGGTCCCAGTGGGCACTGGAACTGTATCAAGGTGTTGCAGTGGGCACCAACATTTCTTCTGCCCAGCTGAAGGCAAAACTCTTCAATCTATGACCCTGATAAAGAAGATGCTGGGTATTGCGGCTGGATGCACTGATTAAAAAGTAGATTATTTTTGCAAAGCAATGAATTTTAGTCCTAATCCCATGGTGTAAGTGTTGAGCCAGGATGTCTGCTTCATGCATTCACTGGCCTTTCTTGAATCCATGTATGGAATGGCTGCTGAGGGACTTTTTAGTGCAATTGAAAACAGTGGTGGTGGTGTTTTTTCTAAGGTTATGGGATTTCAGCCTGACACTATTACTCTCAGTTGGTAAAGAACTGCTATTCTTGCTAAATTTTAGGAAGACTTTCTCTCTTAGAAGAGAGAAAATTGGCCATAATGAGGTGTGTTTTCTCCACGTCCCTACCTGTTTCTCTGAACAGCAGATTCATGGCAGATTAYGTGGCTGTAAGTAAATTTCCAGAGTTATTAGGGTACTGGACGTAGATTACCAGGGCAATGGAAACACTGAAAGGGTTCCTGCTGTGTGAGCTGGCCATTTTGGTAGTCGTCGTCTTAAATATTGAATAGTAAAGCCCTGCCAGAAGTTAATCATGAAATAGGCTGGATACCTTCTCTTCCAATAATTCCTATCACTGGGGCACTGTGATACCAGAAATGTGCAATTAACTTCCCCTTGCTTTTAAAATTGTAGAAAGTGTACAAGTGAGAGTAATAAAACTAATCAAACTTACTGGCTTGGTGAGACTATTATCATGAGTGTCTCTCATG